CTCGAACCACTTTAGGCCGACTGCTTTGAAACTTGACGGGAAGATTAGGCACATAAGTCCGTCATTCCGCCTATGTCCGGCCATAACCTGTCGGAAGTGGCTCACATGCATGTATGGATCGGTTTTTCCGTCATAAAGTGTGAACTTAGGCTGGTGGAAGCCTGCCGGAAGTGGTGTTGTTTCAATTTCCAGGGAAAAAGGAGTGGCACTCAGCCTGGCCAAGTCCATATCTTCAAGGAGTGGCGCTGCTTGGCGGGGTGGAGGCATTCCGACCTCCTCGCTGGCGTGAACCCCGTAGGATAGCCGCTGGAAAGCTGGTATTCTCTGGGCTTCACGCCGGTGAGCGGAGTAAGAGTACCTCGACGTCGTTTCCGGACGTGAGGGTTTGTAGGTGCTGTCTTGCGCGCTAGACTTCCCTGCACCCACGTCGGAATCACCATCCTGGTAACTTCTGTTAATGGATATTGACTGAGTACGTCGCTGACTCTGACCGCCTGAACGGCGGGATGGGGTGCGCTCACTGTGGTCTCCCACTCCAACTGCACCATTCCCTTTGACATGCCGCTTGAGATCTTCCATCTCCGCCGCCATTCGCCGGATGACAGCATCTTGATCCCTCAACTTGCTTTCCAGTCGCCTGGCGTGCGAGTCTCTCCTCCGCCGGTGACCGTCTGGACTCCGTGAATGTCCATGACTTCGTCCGCGCTTGTCCCGCGCGTCTCCTGACTGTCCGCCAGTGGGCGTTCCCAAGTCAGCCATTGGGTGGACAGCAGGAGGTCCCTCTCTCATTCGGGTATACTCCGGGGTGGCTCTGTCGATGGCGGACAACGGAAACTCATCGTTGTTCGCCATGGACGGCGATCAGATGAACCTGGAAGACAAGGTTTTATCTGTCAAGTTTCTCACAGACGACACCAATTGTACGGGGAGCAAATGTTCCGGCAAGCCCGTATTCCTTTCTTCCGAGCTCCGTCGATGTCCGATCACCTGCGAGCAAGTAATGGTGAGCTACCCGGCGGTGTGTGGCTGAAAAAACCCTCCGACGGTCAAGTTAGCACACACCTTAGGATGGATAAAGAGAATGGAGAGAGTGTTTGAGTGTAAGAAGTCCTTACAGAGATGTTCGTGTGTCGCTTATGGGGGGCGCAGACATGCTTATATACCTTCTGAGCCCCATATCCACTCCCAGTCATCTCCTGACACGTGGCTCTGCTATCCCATCTGTCAGTATAGATCTTGCTGAACATCACCTAATCTCAACTGCCTGTCATCGCAGTTGGAGCTCGGCAACCGAGCTGCCCTATGCGTTGCTGCGCCGTGCCGTGCTTCATACCCAAGCGCTTCCTTGGCAAACTCCAAGAGGGGATCGGGCTAAGCGGCATCTCGGCAAAGCCTAGCCCGAAGCACCCCGTGGTCAGCTTTCATGTCGGTCAAACGGTAACCTCGGCCGACCGTGCCATTCCGGGCGCCGGTCACTCGGCTTGTCTGGCTTCGGCTAACCTCGGACCGAGCATCCTGGTCCGACCGAGCTCTGCCTTACCGAGCTGCTTCTTTACGGTCTGGGGCGGGACGCACTCGGCCCAAGTTCTGGCAGCCCTTCTCTGGGCAAATGGTCGATCATCTCGGCCCAATGCGCTGCTGGGCTCTCAACCTGCTCGGTCGATACCTCGGCCCAACTCCAGATCATAAATCACCCTCTCAAAAGTTAAGCCTACCTTTTGTGGATTTTTTAATTATTTTTAAATGCCCTTTATTTTATATATTTATTATAATTTTGAAATTCATTTTTTTTACATCATATAGTTTAATTATGATTGAAAATAAAGGGCATTTAAAAATAAAAATTAGAAAAGCCACAAAGTGTCATTTAAAAATAAAATTCATTTTTTGATTAATCTTATATAATTTTCTATATTTGTTATTTTTTAAGATTTATTTTCCCTGCACCATATAGTTTATTTACGATTGAAAATAAATGACATTTAAATTATTATTTTTTAAAAAAGCCACAAAATGTCATTTAAAAATAAAAGCTATTCATTTTTATAATAATTTAAAAAAAAATCATTATGAAAAGTATATATAAAAATGTTAAAATTGGTGGAATTGGGAAAAATAGTAATTCGGTATCTAGTAAGATATATTTATAATATTTTTAATTTTTTATTATAATAGAGTTGGTTAGATACCTCCTTAACAAAGTGCTCTGAGTTCATGCCTAACCCACTATGATATGTGGAGATAAAAATGTCATTTAGATATGTATATATATAAAGCCTTCTCAGCTAGTATACTCCATATAAAATTGTCGTCTATCTATCTCTACTATTATATAAATATACTGTTACGTTAAAGAAAGGCTGCGGGTTGTATTGATACTTTCTGTCTTATATTTTTTATTTTTCTAAAATATTCTTATATTTGGAATTTTTATAAAAATTATGCAAAGAAGATGACAAGCCGCTAGTATAAATTCCATGACCTTAGGTTACCTTAGGTTTAATAATGAAGGCTCTTACCACTTGACGAACATACATTACACGGATATTTTTCTTTGTCACCACTAGTATAAATTCCATGACCTTAGGTTACCTTAGGTTTAATAATGAAGGCTCTTACCACTTGACAAACATATGTTACATGGATATTTTTCTTTGTCACCGCTAGTATAAGGGCTAGTTTGGCATGTACTAAATAAGCCAAAAAGTTAAAAAGTCACTATCTTATTTAAGTCACATCATCTTATTTAAATCACATCACCTCTCTAATACATCACATCAAACCCAACCCAAACCCAACCCAAACCCACCAATAAGTCAAAAAGTACACTTTTTTAGGACATTCCAAACCAACCTTAAATTACCGAGTGAAGGCTACTAATGGTATTGACACAAATGTGTCTCATTATTTTGAATTTTTTACCGCTTGATCAACATACATTATTTATATGCTCATTTTTCTTTGTCACCACTGGTATAAATTATAAAGTGAAGGTTGCTAGTGGTATTGATACAAATGTGTCACTTGAGTAACACTAACACATACTATATGTTTATTTTTCTCTGTCATTATTTTCATAGTGTTGTTTTTTTTTTTTAAATTGCATGTATCGTGTGTGTGTGTACACTACTAGTGTGTATATATATGGGCCACATATGCCCATTCTAATCTTCCCAAACCTCCCACTGTCCTATGTAAAGATAAATAATCTGGTGATATGTTGAAGCCATATGGTGCTCTGAAGGAAGCAAGTTCCAACCATTCATGAAACCAAAAAAAAAAAAGGAAAAAAAGGTTCTATAAAACTCAACTCGTCCATAATGAAAATGTTCATTTAATAAGAAAGGGGATTTCATATAGATTCCCAAAATTTGAATCATAATAATTAATATGTCTCCAAGCATTAGCTGTAAGTATCCTTCAATGTAGGTTCTAAAGAATGATTGAGTAGGGATCCTCATGTCTAGGGTTTCATGAGGTCCCAGCTCATGAACGAGCAAGCTCACTCTCTAAAAGGGTGCGCCGCACTTCATTTGCAAGATCCGAAACATGTTTGTCTTCACATCCTACATAAAATTGAAAAATTCAAAATAAAATAAAATAAATAAATATCGCAAAGATAATCGGAACAAGCACTGTTTTAAAGACAAGGTCCTACACTGTGAAAAAAGAAAAAGAAAATAAAAGGTCCTCCAGATTTACCAGATTGAATAAGGGCCTTTTCAAGTTGGAAAAGGTAGTCTCTGTTGGGTCCTGAGGGGCCTTCTGCATGAATAATTTGTCTGCAGAATGGAGAAAGAAAGATGGAAATGACATGCATCCATATATATATATATATAACAAAATAGAGAAGAGAAGAAACTAGCAAAAAGAAAAGTGCATTTAAATGGAAACAATTTGAAATAATTTCATTTTCATGGAAGTGCCAAGTAAGCTTGTGTCCGGTGCAAGTGAAAACTGTGGCATGAGCATAGCTCTCACTTGTTCCGAGTTGCACCAAAATGAAAGTGCAATTATTTTGAATTACTCCCACTATAATACAAATTTTTCAAGAAACTATTGTTGTGTTGTCTTATATCAAATCATAGTGATTTAGAATCATCACATTGACCCAGCTGCTCGACTAGCGGACGACTAAATTTTTTTATGGTAAAATGTAAAATTAAAGAACATGGGAAGAAAATGCTTACTTGGCAATTTCTTCGAGTGATGCAGGGCCCAAGTAGTTCGGGTTGAGCTTCTTGTCAGGAGATGCTACATATCTAAACATCGGAAGTGTCAGTGTTGAGTTTTGATAATTTACATGTATGTATAGATCATGCAAAAATACTTGTCTCATCCGCCACTTACACCATTACACCAGAAATAGCTGGTTTTGATGCCACAGGATCCTGATACAAAATTAAATTGGTACATAGTTATGTAACTGCAAATGTAAAGTTGATTTCAAGAATGAATTTTTTCTTAACATCTAATTTTTTATTTTTGGAAAGGAAAAAAAAATAAAAATAATGAAGACATCAAGAAATGCTTACAAAATTAAATTGGTACATAGTTATGTAACTGCAAATGTAAATTTTATTTCAAGAATGAATTTTTCTTAACTTTTAATTTTTGAAAAATAAAATAAAATAATGAAGACATCAAGAAATGCTATATTGAACACAGCATTGGGAACTTACAGTGAAGAAATCAACATAAGCCTTCTGGTCGTATTGCTTTTCCCTCACTTCTAAATACTGAGGAAACATCACGAGGAATTTGTTAACAAATACTGAAAGACAAAAGGAGCATATGTACACACACACGCACGCGTGATTCAGCAAAATCATATTTTTTTAAGTTCCATCAGTATTAAATAAAGTAGCATCAGGACAAAACAAAGAGGAATGACAGAAACCGCAAATCAGGATCCACCAGCACGCAGATCAAAGCCCTACAGAGAGAGAGAGAGAGAGAGCCCTCTCATCATCGTATATTGTCTCATTTTTAGTTGGGGTGATTGTTCAACACCTCAACACTTGCAGCAATATCTTGTGAAGACGAGTCTATATCATCTAAAGCATCCTTCCTTAAAATTAGGGAAAATTTTCAATAAGCTGGCCTTGAGTAATTTAATACACCTTTTTTTAATCTTTTATTATTCTTTTGGTCTCTGGCTACCTCACTAATTTCCCCAAGTGTATGCCAAACTAGTTTTAAAAAATAAAAAATTAACAAAAACAAAAATATTTTAAACATAGCATTCAAATTTTAGATATGATAAATTCTGAAAACATTATAGAAAATCTAAACTATCAACCCACCTGCAAGCGAGAGAGAACTACTTACACAAGATGAAACTTGAGTATTGACAGAATCAAGACAATTTTAGAGTATTGTGTATTTTAAGTAGATTAGGGCTTTAACTCAGAGTGAGACTCCTCTTGTTCCATATAAGTACGCAAAACAAAAATAAAAATATGGACATGATTGTAGGTATAGACTGGAGAGGGGTCTCCTGGGTGAAAGCCAACCTAACAACTGGAAAACAATAAATGACAAAAAAGAAAGTTCACAGAAGGATAAGAATTAAAAGCAACTACTAGAGGCATAACACAAATACAGTAGGAACTCCACTTATATATTTCTATAGGCATCAATATTCAGGCCCTGTTTGGGGTGTGGCTTTTTGGTTAAAAGAGCCAAACCAAACCAAACCAAGCCTTAAGTTCCATTAAATGAGGTCGGCTGCATGAATCATTCTTCTCCAGTCGACTCTATCTAAGGCCATTTTATTAGTCAAATTAAGGAGATTCATATATCCATTTACCACACTAGTCCACACCAATATAAGTCCACCCCTTCCCTAACACAACCATCTATCTACCGTCACTGTATCACATCTCTTCACTACTGCCTTTGTTGGTCTCCGTTGTATATGACCAAACCATCTCAGTATATTCTTTCTCAACTTATTTTCTATCGATACCACACCTACCCATTCTCGAATATACTCATTTATTCCTAACTCTATCTTTTCTACTCTTTCCACACATCCACCTTAACATCCTCATCTCAGCAACACTCATCCTCTCTACATGTTGTTTCTTAGTTGGCTAACATTTCGTCCTATACAACATCGCTGGTCTAATAGTCGTTCTATAGAACTTCCCTTCTAGTCTAATGGGTACTCGTTTATCGCACAATACTCCAGACGCACTCCTTCACTTAAGCCACTTTGCCTTAATTCTGTGAATCACATCTACCCTAAAAAAGCCGCAGTGCCAAAAAACAGAAAGACCAAAAGCCAAAATATTCAACCCCATTAGCAAAGTAGTTTTCAACAATCTGGGAGTCAATTAACAAATTGAGTAATGCTATGATGACCATATTTGGGTACCATCTGATGTGGCACTTTACGTGACACTAACCACATCTCGTGATGGATCCCATAGAATATTAGTGTTGGTGTTTTCTAGATAAAAGGTGGGGTCTTTCACATTATGTGGTTAGGTGCGACGTAAGGTACTACATCACATGGTACCCAAGTATGATATCCAAAGGTGGCCACCCTAGCATTACTTTACTCTTGCAAATTAACTCTCTTACCATTTCAACGAAAACTTGACGTCCCATTTCTTCATACAAAAAAGCAGGTGCAAAAAATACATTTGTGATTAAGAATATGGTCACATTTTAAAGCTATAACCCCTATTTTGTTTTTTGTTTTTTGTTTTTTTATGATTCCCACTCAACTACTGATCTTTCAGACCACATACCAAAATCATACTTTGAAAAACATGACAAGTAGGTGGTTATCCAACAAGATTTCCAAAGGTTACATATATAGAGATGTATTCCCTCATTTCTAGCAAATCAAAGAACTAAACAACCAACACACCACCATATTAGAATGTCCTTTGAGGCAATTCCCCACACTTAAACCAAATTAGAGATTTACTTTCCTGCATTTTTGTTTCTAGTAAAACATTGAGAACTAAGTAATATAACCACACTAGCTACATGGTGCTTTGGGGCAATGTCTAACATATTGAACACATTAATCAGTAACATCCATTACAACAGAAAGAAAACTAACTACAAATTATTAAGTGTCACTCGTTGGTTGAGAACTGTCAAATACTTGAATTGAGCAAGCCAGGTTAAGTAATAACCTTACCGTCAATGCAGTCTCTTTGTCTTCCTTCCCGGAGATCTTGTAGGCAGCTCCCCACTATGACCTCGCACAAAATAGCTCTATTAACTTCATATATTTTTGAGATTTTGACAATTCAAAAGCAAAACACATAAATTACTCTGTTTGGTAGTATCATTAAGCTAAAAGAACAACAAGAGCACGGTGCCAAGGCTGACAAATATCATAGCATCAAGGTTGACAAATACATCAGCATTTGTTACTAGCATATAAATTAACTAGATGGAAAATCGTCTGTAGGAATCAAGCATTTAAATTTCTCTAGTCATGCATTTAAATTCCTCTAATCATGCAATTCCGCTCCGCCAATTTCATTGACCTACTAAACTTCTCCAGCCCACTACATAATACTTTCGTGCAACCCAAAAATTGTAGTAAATTGCCTAACTTTTTCTACATTAAAGTTCGATTTCCATTTATGCATGGCAAAACTCAAAATGATGGATGGGGAGAGATTAGAGATCCGATGATAGATATAACTTGTTTATTTTCACCGACAAAGTAATTATGAGTTCCTTTCCATCTTTTGCATGTAAATGTACCCAAAATGCATCAGAAAACCAGTAAATTTGAAGGTTTTAGGCATGTTTAGCCCTGAAACAACACTTGATTGCTAACATTGTCCTTGAGTATTCAATTCAAGAAACAGACACCACCAAATCACATGATTTTTTTCCCTTGAGCTATAACAAATTAGGGAAAAATTAAAAAAAGTGGCGAGTAAGAAATATAATTGGAAAGTGATGAAGGTACAAGTCTTATTTGCACAATCCAATGCATGAATTACTTGTACATTGATTACTTTGCAATTATTTTTCCTACTCCATTTTTTTTGACATTCTCCCAATAAATTATCCCATTTAACCATCACAGAAAGAAAGATTAATCCACAGAATAACAAGGAAAGACAAAGAGCCAAGCTAAGGAAATGGGCCAATGGGTTTGTGAGATGACAGGTAACTTACACAAATCTCTCCCTCTGCAGGCTCCAATGTGACTGTTCTTCCCGGGTACTCTGGAGTTCCTCTGTGGTCAGTACTACCTGTGAAGCAAAACCCAATAAAGCATTCATGAATCAACCCAACAAAAGTGCATTACAATGAGAGAGAATGAGAGAGAGAGACCCTGGTAGAAGACACGGCGGTAGTTTTTGATGAAACCGAAGAGGCGATCATCATAGTTAAAGCCTGCTTTCCAAATTAGAGAACCATACCCAAATACCCACATCACCATCTTCCAACTCCCACTTCTTTTGGCTTCTTTCTCTTGAAATCTCTCTCACCAACAAGATGATAGAGAATTACCAGAGTTTCTCTCTCCCTCTTTGAACCCAAACCCAGGAGAGAGATTTTGCGATTGACAGATTCAATTTGAGAACGATAACATAAATCGTAGTCCTTGATTGGCTCAATAACGTGGGACATACCTTTTTTTTTGTTTTTTATAAAGCGGACCCTATTTTCGACGAAAATATTGGTTTCCGTTTTTTTTCTTTATATTTAGCAAAAATTGCAAATAAATAAATAAATAATAAAAATCTCACACCAAAATAAATCTTCACTTTCTAATTTTATTAATTTATACTCTGAATTTTAATTTGTTTTCACTTAAATCATTTATCTATTTTCGTTAAGGAAAAATAATCAAAAAAATGAATATTTTAGTCATTAAATTTATATATATTGAGTTTAATAGTTAAAATAATATTTTTTTCATCGATTTTACTTAAAAAAAATATGCGAATGATTTAGATTAAAAATAAATCAAAATAATAGGTTTTAAATAGACAAAATTAAAAACTCAGAATTTATTTTATTAAAAGAAGACTCAAACTTTGGTTTTTTAATTTTTTTTTGTAATTGTTTGTTTTATTTATTATTATTATTTTTAATTGAACCCACCATTTGTTCATATTTTAAAAAATAAAAAATAAAATCAAGCCTTATTTGTTGTATATTTATCACAATAATTATGAGTAAAAATTAATTTTTGCTTAAAGCAAGTTAAAGTCTTGTTATATTTATGACAAAAATTATCTCCAAAAAATAATTTTTCCTGAAAGGAAACTAAAATTTTAATGTAGGACACAAACATTGTAGGGATACTAAACAAACTTACACATATATATATATATATATATATATTATTTGCTTTGTATAAGAACATAAATTTATGGCATAAAAATATAAGAGACTTCAATGTATATGTGAAGGAATAAAATATTGGCTCAAGCCTGAAGCAATTAGGCAAAGCAGCCCAAAGGAAAGGGAAGACCCAGATGAATTTCTAAGAAGTCCATTAGAGATAGCTGGCAGTACAATGGCGCATTAATGGCGCATTGTTAAGATCGTAAGGAGCAATGAAAAGTAAATATCTTCTTCTAGAAAGAGATTCGCAGAATATAAGAGGAATATATATCAGATTCATCTTCATCTAATGGTAGAAATATCAAGACAACAAATGTAAAAGTATAGGTTAGGCCTACTAGACGGTAAGTTTGTTCGATTAACTTGATCCGATGAACATAGCGATTGGCAACTTGGCCAGTAACATCTGACATAATCTAAATCGTTTATAAGAGAATGATCCAATGATCAAAGGCAAAGGTAACTTGACTACTTGCCACACCAAAGTCAGGAACTGGCAGAACTCTCAGATCAAACATTGATTCAACAAATGAGATTCAAGTCAGAAAAACTATAAAATACGAAGCAGGTGAAGCAAAGAGGACATGCTAGAGGTAATCAAAGAATCCTCTTTTAATACAAATTCTCATGGCCAAAACAGTATTCTAACTTGACCGTCGGAGGGTCCTCCATACCAATCCTATTCGAGAGGTATCATTGACGTTTTGGTTTCTCTTGACAGAGTAAAGGAAGAGACACGTCATCTCGCTTTTCCTGTGGAGAAAAATTCTACCTTCCACAGTAGATATGAGTATATATATATATATATTTTTTTTCCCTCACTTTTCCCATCTTTATTTCTGTATTTTGAGCCCAAATCAACTTTCTAAAATTATATATGTAACTCACAAAGGTGTTTTGAGACATGTCCAAACCTATGAAGCACAGGTACGGGTACGGATACGAGTACGAGTATTGGTATTAGTACGATATGGGTACGTCGATATAGTAAAATTTTAAAAAATAGGGTACGGGTATGCCTACGCTTGTAAAAAAATATTTATTTTTAATTTAGAGTAATGTAAAAATTAATTAAATAGTTTAATTTGTTAAGGTCTAGCCTACAATTAACATTTAATGTCAAAAGTAAAAATATAAATCAAAATTAAATGTTAATATATTAAGTAACTTACAAACCATAGTTTAATTTTAAAATCATGCTAAGTATAAAACAAAAAAATAGAAAAGAAATCTAGTGAAAGGAGTTTTGTCTCTATAATATAAGAAAATATTGTTTATGTTGGAAAAAATATGGTTTTATGGTGACTTTAATGTGAAATTAAAGTAGGTCCCAACTATTGGTTGATGTGAGATTAAGTGGGTTTAGATTCTTTGTAATAAGGTCTTTACACCACAAAAAGAATGACAAAAAATCATTAAGGATTGAATGAGAAATTGTCTCATAAAGTTGGCCTCATGAATGAGGTATTGACAATTGTGTATAACTGCCAATCCCATATTGATTGTAGATGAAAGCTTTAATGAGTATTTAAACCTCAAGATTTTGATAAGGGTATGAGCCCTTTGGGGCATCCAAATTTTTCGAAAGAAGGGAGTTATGGATGCTTCAAGGATGGGCTTGGGCCAAGACTATAGTCCAAGTTGGTTATGGCAAAATTGCCATACGCGTGTGCGCCGCCCGCCCTTTCGCCTGAACCGGGCCGGGTCCGTGATCCGTGGGTCGTGGATCTTGGATCTTGAGGTTTGGGCTGGGTTGGATTGGTGGTCCACCAACCTAATCTTTTTGGGCCAAGTCTGCTGCGGAAAATAAATCTCCCATCGGTTTTGGTCCATTACTCCAGCAGTTTTGCAGGAGTAATGTCCATTAGTTGCTAGCCTTCATGGGCATTAATTGCTAGCCTTCATGACTGGAGGCTCCTCCTCTCTCCCTCATGGTGTACAAAAGGAGACCAATCTTCCTTGGTTTTTGCACAGAATTTTTGCCTTCCAATTATATAGTCAGTTTGCTTGTTCCTATAATATTCTTCCTGTGTGAGAGGGTGTTGCTATTGTTAGTTCGTCAAAGCTAACAGAAGGTGCTTTTGCGTTAGCCGGTCTAAACCATCTTATCTTAGGAGAGAGAAGTCGACATGCCTTCAGCACCCACGGTAAGGCGACTAATCTATTTTAAGGAAACTGTGGTATCACATAGAATTTGGTTTGATTCCTTGTTTTCAATATTTCGGTTCCATATGTATTTTTGTTAATCATGTTTCATGTTATGTAATTTAACTGATTAAATATAAATCTATTTGTTTTATGTTATTCCACAATTTATACAACAAACTTAAAAGAGATTATATATAGTTTCCCTAAAGTGGCTATATAGATTCATATAATATTGTAGAATAACACAGTTTATATGTTTGCCCAGAATTTTTTTGCCTGTTTGAATTCCGTGTTTGACCACTAGGTTTTATATGAGATAATAAACAAATACTTATGCATGCTACTGATTGCCATACCACCGAAACCAATTTTTTTTATGGATATGCAAACTGCATGTTTCTAGATTCAGGCCTCGTTTGGGAACAGACTATTTTAGTAATTTTTTAGCTTTTTGTGAAAAGATGTGCAGAAAAGTAGAGAGGTGATGCGACTAGTTTTAGTTGACTTTTTGGCTTTTTGGCTAAAATAACCACTCCCCAAACGAGGCCTCAATTGGTTTATTTGAATATGCTACTGTTTCAATTTATTTAAATTAATATATTTGGTGTGCCATCAAAACATATTCTTGACTGTACATACTGCCATGGCATTCACGCCTTGAAAGTCAAATTTAGTCTACTACATAATTTGAATTTATGTTTGGTTTTCATGTTTAGAATATTAAATAAATGTTTGGTTCTAATTTTGGAAGCACTGCTATGGTTTATTCTTGCACAACCAAGTTTGTTTTTCTAGTATTCTAGTTTTCTGAAATAGCAGTTTAATTAGAATGCTTATAATTTGCATACTTAATTATTTTAGAATGATTTTATTTTATGGGTATAATTCATAATTCCCTTCCATGATGTGCATGACTTTTAATTTTATAATCTAATTTGCATCCTTATGGGTGTTGCAATTTTTTTTGACATGTTAAATATATTCTAGTTTTGATTTGTTACATGCTTATTATGTTAGAATTATTTACATGAGTTGTTCACATGTGTACATGGTTGGTGATTTGTTAAAAGGTTTTATATAACTCTAGACTTGTCTATAATACTTTACACGTTTATTATGTAAATAAAACTGTAAATTCATTTTATTGGTGTTATAATGTCATATAGAATTACCTCATAATTTGAATTTAATTATGTTGCAACGCCTCCAAAATATGCAATAAATACATCCCATAATGTTTATAAACAACAGTATAAATCAGAATAAATAATCCTTTCATTACATAGATTTGGTATTACAAAAGAGTTCATGTAAATAAATGCCCTATTGACTTACACCTTTCCAAGCCTTGACTTGGGTACAACAAAAAGAGACTAGCTCATACACGTATAGCCTTGGCTTTACAAAAATATACAATTCAGATAAAGAAGCTCTTGCTCCCAAAATGACCCTCCAAGCTATTACCTTGGTGGAGGCAAGTCACCAACACTTGAAAATGTTATTCCCAAATAGGGTGAGCCACAGCCCAGTTGGAATCATCTAACACAGTATATGAAACTTAGCAAAGGTATAAGTACACTATGCATATACAACATCAGTGATAGAACAACCACACTTTATATAGTTATAAGATACCATATTTAATTCTTAATCCATTTCCATTCTATTCATTTCATTACATGAGCCAACTTCGTCATTTCTCAATAACCCTAATGAGACTACAACTCATTAGTTCTATAATTACATTGTGGACTCTGTAGCTCGACTTTCTTCACACCCCCTTTCGAAGAGCTCGAATTGGTCCTACAATTCGGACTCCTGTCACGGTTCTGAATCTAATCTCACAAAGTGCAATGTGAGACTGATAAACACCAAAGAGTCCAATCTGACAAATCATTTTGGAAAATCAGATTTTGAATCAAATAATACCAAAACTGGACTGCTTTGCTAGATTACAGAGTCGCCACATAAATATTTTATTTTGGAAAATTTAGGAAATCCTGACTTGTGCCAAAGGCCACGTGTCCGTCATCACCAAAGTAGCCTCGGCTTGGGAACTTAGGTACGAGAGGGGAAGGTCCTGAAATGAGCACCCTCGCTCG